CACACACACACACACAAAACTCACACGCACAGACCGGCTCCGATCCTTGAGTTGAGCGTTTTTAGGTTTGCCGACGTTCAGAAGATAATTCTGGGCGACTGTCGGGCAAAGGCGGGGTAGTAAAACAGTGGAGCGGTAGGTCAAATAGAAATAAACGCCACTGGACACTGGAATATAAAGACAGGCGGGGAGGTGAGGGGGCGAGAGGGAGGGAGACAGAGAGGGGGGGGAGAAAGAGAGACAGAGAGGGGGGAGATAGAGTGAGAGAAGAGGGATGGAGGGGGGAGGAAGAGAGAGAGAAATAGAGAGAGAGGGAAGAAGGATGGAAGAGAGAGGAATCGAGAGAGAGAGAGGAAGAAAGACAGAGAGAGAGAGGAAGAGAGACAGAGAGAGAGGGGAAGAGAGACAGAGAGAGAGAGAGAAAGAGAGAGAGGGGGGGGTGATGTTTTGGCGTCGGTATTGGGCGTCCGAGATCTTTTATTGACCTTGAAGGTGAACCGAGACAGAGCGAGAGAGAGAGAGAGAGAGAGAGAGAGAGAGAGAGAGAGAGAGAGAGAGAGAGAGAGAGAGAAGGGGTGACGAGGGAGGAGGAAGACAGGGGATAGATATATATATATATATAGAGAGAGAGAGAGAGACAGAGAGAGAAGTAGTACGTTCCTGCAGGGGAAATTGAAAAAAATGGAGCATATTTGACGGGACTCACGAGAATTCAGATTACTTTCGTAACTCGACTTATGATAGTTCTGTTGCCAAAAAAACAATGCTATAATATCGTAACCAAGGGTACTGCCCAAACTAAAAGAGATGCGATTTTTAAATATTCGTCAACAAATCCTGAGGGTTAAAAGAATTTTTAAAACCCTCAAGATTTGTTGACGAATATTTAAAAATTGTATCTTTTTTAGTTTGGGCTGTACCCTTGGTTACGATATTATAGTATTGATTTTTTTAAAACAAAACTATCATAAGTCGAGTTACGATAGTTTTGAAACTTCCTTTATGAATTACATAGTATTGTATCTCAAGTTAAAATCGTTTCTTTGCCAAGGAGAACATATTTCATTCTATTATATCCAGAGATACGATGCCAATTTAATATACATCCTTCTTTGTCGATGCAAAGCCGTGGAAAAACAAAACTATCGTAACTTGGAGTTACTATACTTTTGTTTTAAAAAGAGATTTACTGTTCGTTTCTAAAGTATCGTAAGTCAAGATGCGATACTTTCGTTGCCATGATTTCGCTACCAATAAACTTACCATACATATTCATTAGGGCATAACTATCTTATTTATTTAGCTTATGGTACGCTGTTTGGGCACAAAATGCGCATCGGAAAATGGTTGAACGTACCTTTTAGTGCAAAAACATTGTAACTCGAGTTACGATAGCTTTGAAACCCAGGCTTGGTATTTAGAAGATCAATTAATACAATTAGCTTAATGACTAAGCAGTTGTGAACGTATGACGCCATAATATTGATAATATTATTACAACATGTAGTATTATCAAAGATTCTGGATTACCAGCGAATCTTTGGTACAACAACGGTGTCTTGGAGAGGGAGAGAACTTTGCTTTGGGTTGGAAAATGATTCTAGTTTTACAGGGTTGCTTCCCCCGTTTAAAATTTGAGAATTCAGACGTCATGATATTGTTCATTGTATGTGTGTGTGAGTGTGTGTGTGTACGTGTACGTGTGGGGGGGGTGTATGTGCATGTCTCTCTCTCTCTCTCTCTCTC